CACTAAAAAACTGTCTTCCCCACATGTGCGCACCAAAGGATCGTACTCAATCACAGGAAACATGAAGCAAACTGCCTCCGCACATGATCACACACAAAATAAGCCTGAAAAAGCATGTGAAAAAGCACACAGACACGCGCAAATCCTCACGCAACCATATTGAAACACAAAGTGCCATCCGGCGGGTGGAGCGTCAACACCATTCCCAAAAAAGCGGTCAAAACTGCAAACTCTGCCCAGACGCCCTCACCCATTGACGGTGACGCGACGCAGCAGGCCACACCTTGTTTTGTATCCAGTGGCCGTGCTGCCACAGAGCCCACACCACGTCTCGCAACTGCCTTTCAAATAGATCGTAATGTTCGTAAAGCGTCAATTGGGAATGCAGTGATGGCTATCCAATTTTAAAACATTACATATGTATAACTACAATATAGCCGTCATATCGTGTCAAGATCAGCTATCGTTAAGTGCAATGCACTGAAGGTGATTGACAGCTTATATCAACTAAGGAACGGTACAAACAAACGGTAATTTCGATTCGAGAGCATTAAGAAACATTAATGCATCTCCATAAAGTCAATGGCGGTGAGTGTGTGAAGCTGTAGGTCCTAAGGCCCACAATATCTACGATGAAGCCGCCGACTAGAATAAGGGACTGACAAATGGACGGATGGAAAAACGCACGGATGGATGGACAGACTGTGCGGGTGATCATGTATTGTGCTGTCATGTACCGTATAAACCGGACTATAGGTCGAGTGGGAATATAGGTCGACCCCCCAAGTTCAGGTTACCAAAAAATAAAAAAAAGTAGAGAACAACCCGAAATTGCCAAACGACATTTTTTTGCGAATTGGGCGCACCGCACCCTGATCGTCGGAGCTTCCCTCAATCACCATCACAACTGTTCCTATTCTTCAGACAAAGCACCACTGTCTTCTGAAGACGAGAGTTTGTTGCTGGCCGCCTCCCACAGTGCGTTGTCTTCCGTGCCATACAGCGCGTTGCTGATGGAACATTTCTTAAAAGCATTTTCCACTATGAAATATGGGAAGGAACACCAGGCGAAAAGCACCCAGCCAAAAACAGTCGCAAGCGAAGGCCTCTGTAGGCGGGCCGTTGGTGTCTTTTGGTTGTCGCCGGACATCCACTTTTGGTACTCCAGCCGCACTCGGTCCTTGAACGGCTTGTTTAGTACAATGTCGATCGGTTGGAGGGTGGACGTCATACCACCTGATATCACGGCGAGGTCTATTTTTCCATTTCTCAGTGCGCACTTCACAACGTCGGTTAAGTGACCACAAAACGCATCTAACACTAGTATGCTGCAAAGACACAGCAGTGCACTAGGCTGACGGTTCTAGACTACTCGTATCCATTTGAGCATGATGGCCTCATCCATGTATTCCTTTTTGTTGACGCGAACGACAACACTGGGCGGGAACATTTCCTTCGGCATTGTCTTACGTTTGAATATGATGAAGGGCGGAAGCTTTCTACCATCTGCCATGCATGCCAGCATGACAGTGAAGCACGAGTGCTCGTTGCCAGTGGACAACAGCTTCATATCCTTGGCGCCTTGCTGCATGATCATGGTCGACGAAGGCATGTCAAACCACACGGGGGTCTCATCAGCATTGTCAATCTGCCCCATCATATAGTTGTTCTGCTCCCGAAGCCTGTTCACGAAGCCCTGAATGTTTATGAGCTTGTCCTCGAACTCGTCTGGAAAATTTTGACAGATGGATGTGCGCCACCGGAAAAAAAATCCTTTGCCTCTCATGAATCGACACACCCAAGAGTTTGGTGCACGAAACTCTTCCATCGTGAGCCCAGCTTCTCAGGCGAGTTCCACAGCTTTCTTGCGAATGGTATCCACGATCACTGGCAGCGAGCATGCATAAACTTCCCACAAAAAGTTCCCTAGCGTATTCTCCAGCTGCAGATGAACCGGACTTCGCACACGAAATGACATTTTCCGAGGATTGCACATCTGCAGCTTCTCTTTCTGCACCCTCCAATAGTGCACGCTTTTTTTCTGATACACCAAAGCTGCACTGAGCAGCCATATTCCCATTCGCTTCTGCGTACTCAACAACCTCTAGTTTAAGCGCAGCTGAGTACTGCCTTCTCGTACCGCTACTCATATTCAGTGAACGAAAAAAAGACCACTAAAAATGAAACACAATGTCAAGCGGAGCGAGAGCTTAGAACCGATCAGAGGCAAATCACGAACACAAAAAAAACAGACAAGAGAGAAAAAAACAACCTGCTATTGGATTTGAATGCAAATATGGCCGTGTCCAGCTTCTCATGCACATGCAAGCCACATGTTGCCGGACAGCAGTGCACTGTCGGCTAGACACCACTATAATAGGCGAGGGGCGACTTTAGCTCATTGTTTTATTGAAAATATCTCGACCTATATTCCGGTTTATATGGTAGTTAATTACACATAAATTCGATTGTTCACACACATGTTTTCGTTTCATTTGTGCAGGTAATCAGTTTTTCAGTTTGGGTTTTGTTCGGCGTGATGGACGCCAACTAGGTCAGCCCTTAGGAACTTTGTCCCTAAAAGCTGGCATTGGCAGCATTAACTCAACGAATGCATAGAATAAATATTTTGGTCCTAGTGGGTATAGAACCTCAGCATTCTGTGTAGCAACCAAGTATTCTACCACACAGCCACGCCTGGTCTCGGAACTGGTTTTCAAGTAGACCGTAATGTTCGTGAAATGTTGGTTGTGATTGCAGTGCTGGTTATCCAATCTTATAAATGGTAGATACGTACTCCTATTATACAGCCCTCATGTCGGGTTAATGACAATTGTAGTGAACAGCCATCCACTGAAGTTCGTTTATCTAGCAGTGTCCAGGGCTGCCATCTTCACTGGCATTAGCCCTACTTACCACTTCTGGTGTTGCTAATGTTTCTGTTGGCATCGTTACTGAAAAGTAAACATGCGACTGTTTAACATATGTGTGTGCGTACAACATTTGTACATAGCTTTAGAATAATTTCGTAATGTTTCGCTCAATAAAAAAATTACAAAACACAATCACCTTCCCTCAGCATGCTTCGCATAACATCAATTCCCAAGGTACGTGGGATCAGTCGAATCTTTTTATTGGAGAACTCAGTATAGGAGATGCAGTAGCATATTGTACCGTTTTAAATAAGACGGCGCAAAATATCACTAACGACGATTATTTCCATTGAAGAAAATTATAGTTGGAAGCAGGTACTAAAAAAACAAATCAAATGCTTGTGACATACTCTTTTAGCCATTATCCCAGATAATCTGATTTTCAAACACATAAATTCATGGGAAATGTGGGCTGAGGCAGCAGGTCTCGACATAAAGTTGTAAGAAGTTTCTTGTGGGTGTAACATATGTCTCTTGTAAATGACCATGAAATCAGATTGGAAGAATAAGCTGATTGGTTTTGGGACGTTAAACCCCACATATAAACCAATCAGAATAAGCTGATTGCATGAGAAGGAGCTTGTCTATTGACTTATTTGTATGCATATGCTCTAATGGTGCATTCAGACGATGGACCCAATCCGAATTTGTCATGAACGCGGACGGGTAATCTACGGATGATCCACCTGCAGGCGCATCCACACGACGGACGATGTCCTAGGAGAAAACAGCCGGATTACCCTCGACAGCATGTTCGGCACTCACCTGCGCGCGCTGAAAGCAGACCGGTTTGAGAGTATTCAACATAAATGCCCGCAAGAAGCGACAATTGACTGCGATCTCTGTCGCGTTGTGACAAATGAACGAGGAGTGTTATTCTTTCAGGAGAAAAGGGAGTTGCTGGCAGAATGTTCTTTCAACTACACTGTTCCCCACTTGTAGAGCTTCTGAATGCGTCTCCCATCCTTTTTTACAAGCGGCACGTCGCCGGTTGCAGAAGTTAGAATGTTTCACCATCATGACGGCTAAGAATCTCGCGTGTCAAATGACGGCAACGACATTTCCCAAACCACCGAAAGTGATTTCTGCGTATTTAATCACCTGAGAACAAAGCCTCCGGAAACTAAGTAAACCATGCTCAAGCGTAGATGATGCCGACCAGTCATGCAGCTGCATGTCCGCGAGCCATGGAGGACATGCCGCGAGCAGACGAAAAGTGTACTGGTTGCCAGAAACCCTGAGCTAATCCACTGAAGTATCGGCTTTCTCCCGCCAGAATCCTGATTTGAGAAACAGGTTGGGGTCATCCGTCCACGAGCCGCACGGACGAGTCGCGTACGAGGGGAATCGCTGATGTGGGGTCACGTGACGCCCCGTCCGTCATGCCACATCCGGATTCAGTCCATCGTCTGAATGCACCATAAACGAGTGGTTCTCGTTTAGAGCACAGAAGTTCTCGTTCAGATCACCTAAGTGGCTTCGCAGACCCCCCCAGGGTCCGCAAAGCCACCTCTGTGATTTTTGATACCCTCAACTGCTTTTTTTTACATTTTTTGGAGTTTATTCCGGCCGTGAATCAAAGTAAATACTGAAACAGGTTGAATGTGCCTGCAGATACATATGCAACTCTAAGAGCGACTGTGCCACGTATTGATGAACTGTCCAAAACGAGGTGATGTGGCACGTTTGTTCGATGTTTTGGTAGCAATTAAAGGCACCTGTTTCATAATCCAGTTGTGTTAATTTACCAATGTACCCCCCCCCATACACCTCGCCCCCCCCCTATTCTGCAAGGGGTCCCCCATCAATTCCACTAGTCTACAAAGGGTGTCCGGCACATTCGTGGCTGAGAACCCTTGCTCTGAATGATGAACTCAAAGAGCATAGCTTGCAAGGTGAACCGTTCAATTGTCACTTTGCCAGTTCTGAGCTAAGCGTAAGCTAACTTGCATTCCTCGTTAACTAATATGCCCATTGTTCATTATTCTCTTGGTTGTTCAGATTCGAACCCACCAGTGATTTTATTTGACAGATGGTGGGTTGATTTCATGAGAATGTGTGTTGCAGGTACTTCTTGCAGCACCCATACGCACGGCTGTTTGTGTCGTACTTTGTGGTGTTCTGCAATTTTCTGGTGTTTGCTGAGGACCCCATCTCGCACAGCCGCACCGAGAGCGAGATCCCAGTGTTTGGCAACGTCTTCTCCTTTGTCTGCACCAAGTACCCACCCGAGTGGGGCTGGCGGTGTGCCAAGGTGCTGCTCTGGCTCCTAGCCCTCTTCTGCGGCCTGGTGTGTGGCAAATACTTCATCCACCACTTCCTGCTCCGTGAGTATTTATTTCTCGGGCCTTCCGCAGTGCTCGTTCACAAAGACCGGCTTGCATGTATATTATTTTCAGTCAAGGGATGGCACAAAAAGCCTACATATGGTTGACCACCTTTGTTTTGCTTAGCAAAAGCTGATGAAATTGTATGGCAATCTAGCATTGGTGCTGAGACTCATTCATTCGGAGTTGTCTGAAAACATGAGCACTTACATTTTTGTGATTGTGTCTTGCACACGCCTTTCTTTTTTCCTATAGCCACATGAAAGGCCCAATCACTGGCTGGCGAAAAATGTGGAGCTCATTCAGACTCGCTCATGAAATATATTTTGCCTTTGGGACTCACTCGAATCCAGATTCATCAAAATATTACTAACTCAGAAATACAGCTCTCTACGAGTGTGAGTGAGTTTGCCAACCTATGATGCTGCTGCATCTAAATTTGTCGTATGAATGCTTTTTGTTTTGCAGGCTACAGTGGGACATTTTTCTTGAATATCCCCAGCTAAACTGCCAAGTGTATTAGCTGAGCGGAAACTCGCCTGAGAAGGTCAAGTTTTTCTTTATTTTTGTTTTTTTACAAAGAGAATAATTTTGGTAGAAATTATACCAGGATGTTAACTTAATCCAGAAAATGTAGCAGTTTGTTGTGTACCTTTATGGGCACACCATGAGATGGTGCCACACCAACCACCAACAGTGTTGAGCTCGAGTAAATGCTTACATGCAAAGTTGCCCCTGCATACTTCGGAAGATGAGACCACCAAGAAGCCACACAAGGATAGCGAAAAACAACCACAGAGGACAGGCACTGAAGAATTGCATACACCCTCCACGTCAATCAGCAGCACATGCTTAAAAGGCCATCGTAGCCACGCCAAACTTACACAACTTACAGTACAGAGCATGAAACGTGTGAAACACCGAGAAAAAAAACTCAACACAAAGCTTACCGGCTATCTAGAAGTGCAAATTCTTTATGTGTGAGGAAAACTGAGGGATTCCTCACACATGATGCACGGCCCTGCTTCTTGATTACGAAGGCCTCACAGATTTGATGTTCACTGTTGTTTCTCCCTTTGAAGTCAATGGATGACTCCTCAGGCTTTCGTCGACGCACGCCTAGAAGGCCATATGGGAGTGTTGAGGCTTGGAAAAGTTAGTACGAATTTATTTCGAAAAGTGCTAACAGCTTGTAGAACGGTTAGCAAAGGATGAGACAACACAAAGGCAAGGAGCCCCTACTTCCAACTAGTATTTATTTCGATAAGAAGGACACACATACAAGGCAAGAACAAGGGTGCATGACATAAAAAATAAGACAAAAAGAAGAAAGGAAAGGTTGTGCAAGCACTGCGAGCATTGCTTCATCCTTTTACAGACTGAGCATATCACCACATGTGCCCTAAAGCCTGGCTAGCTAGTCAAATTTTTCATTTAAAAGTGCCATAGGAGGTGCACTATCGCACTTATTACCTATCTTATGTATCAAATCAGCTTCAATAACTTCGCAAATTAGCTGGACTCTATGCCTTGCCATTACTTTGCTCTGATTGAAGCAGGGTGTACACCTACAGTCACGACAGTAAATGCTGTTGTGACCCTGCATCATATTGAAGACATTATTGTGGTGCTCTTAGAATTGTTCATCTAGGCAAAAAGCTATATTGGTCAAACAGGTGGATGCCTCACTAGTACTTCAGCCAATAGATTTTTACCTGGGTACGTCACAGCGTGGCATCGCTGGTGCACGTGCAAGGTGCAGTTGGCAAAACACTCCCACTGGTGGCTCAGCTTAGTATAGTCGTGCGGTGCTTGTGGCAAGTTTTTTCTGTGTTTTTAAAACTTATATTTCATTTTACTGTGGCAAGATTACCTGTGGTATGTGTCAGAGAACATGTAGGTGTGCAGTAAAGTACTGATGAAATATTTGCAACATACATTGGCTGTTTGTTTATCTTGGAGAAGCGAACACATGTGGCGGCCTCTGCAAGGAACATCAGCATTGTCTTCGAAAATGTACAGTGTTGATTGTGGCGTATAGTGTGCGTTGAAAGTCATCAACAGTATTGGTTCACCTTTACAGACAGTGTAAGAGGTTAATGTGTATGGTGCGTGCAGTGTGAAAAACGATGCGTCTTGTTTGCAAAAACATTTGCACTCGTCACCTGGTGGCAGCAACCGTTGTCTATGGAACTTCACGATTCGTCATTTTAGTTGAGCTAAAAATACATTGGACGCAATCATGTGCGAGTGGGTAAATCTCAGCATTTGTGCTACGTGCATAAAAAAAATCGCATGATATCATCTCCAGGCTGAAAAATATGACTGCCCTTGAATTATAAGCAGGTTTAGCATTGCTGAAGCTCTATATACACATTGTTATGGTGAATACGTAAACCCAATGAAGGTATACTCATATTATTGGAGATCTCATGTCTTCATGTAAACAGCGGAGATTCTACCTTTACAGCTCTATCTTTACGAAGGGACGATGCTCACTACAAATTTGTTTATCAGGTCTAAAAGGAGCAATGTAAATATGTGAATACGTTGTAGGCATCAGATCCAGCAAGGTAACTGCGGGAAAGATTATAGTATAGTATTAAGTAAGTTGTCGCGAAAATCGCATAAATTTTCAGTAGTCTATGCGGAATGCTACTGAGAACTTACTTCAATTTTAACGAGGATTCATTAACTTCAGCCTCATGCACGGCAGAAAGTTCTCTCTTTTTTTTTTTCATTCAACTCTAACCAGAATTTTAGTGAGTGAGAATCTTGTTCATGTACTTCCACACGGCAGCTCGAAGGATGCTGTTGCCAATGCTATACCTAATTTAAAACTGCAGTGCACATGTTGCAATGAAAATTGCATACATTTACGTTCATGCCATGTTGATAATTGCAGAACATTCACTTTCAAAGAGGAAAATTATTTTTTTAATGGCTGCCATGTATGACGAGCAAATAGCCACATGTTGACCTACCAAAATTATGCATTATAGGCAGTGACCTTTCCTTTTGGTGGCTTTCAAAAAACAACAATTTGCAGAAAGTTTCTGTCGAAGGAATGCAGACACACATAGCCCTGCTGTGCAGAAAGACCCTTGTCGGTGAAATTTTCTTGCCATATTGAGGTTTAAGTGTATACACGTGGGTTACTGATCAGGACAAGCACGGTCCTAGTGCACTGCTTATCATAAATTAATAAGCGAAACTTACTGTCACTGTTCGGTGCACATTCACCAAAGGTTTTTACCTGAGGCAGTGCAGACACTTCAAGCAGAGCGCCTTAAGCTTTTAGTTATGCCGCATAAATAAACAGGAACTACCCAGCTTGCCTTTGCCAGATTAACCTCTGTGGCTATGTGTGCGGTATAGATAATCAGCGATTACTATTTGTTATATTTGGATAGCCAAGCGACGGCCCTGTGCGGTATTAACATGAACTATTTCGTGATATCGCTCTCAATGGACCAAAATTACTGGGGCGAAGAGGTGCGACCTATTGATCTTCCTAAGATCATCAGGGCTAACAGTGATCCAGTGAAAGGAAAGATCTCCGAACTCACCCACCGCAAAACGCGCAGCGGTCTCACTGTCTTGTCCAATTATGCCACATCCATCAAGAGTCTGTAGAATGCCAAGAATGCCATCCAAGCCAACACAATTATGAGCACCAACATCTATGTACGCATCCCTCAAAATCTGAAGCCTCGTCTCAAACCTATCAGTGTGGTACCTGACATTCCCACTGCCAATATTGCACAGCAGCTTACCCTCTGCTACTTCCACCTCGTGGGGGACGATACACAGTGTTCTGTCACCCTCTCTAACAGAGAGCATTCCAGCGATTTCACGCATATCCTGGAGGTTTCCCCACCTCGTGCGGGGTACGAGCTGACAAATTCACTCAGTTACCTTTACACCTTGCCAGCCTCTTGATCTTTTTTCTCTCCATCTCAAATTAGGCTTGCTTACCCTCTTTTTTTTTTTTTCATCATTTCTGTTTGCCTCTTTCCGCACTTTTTGTCTTTAATTGGCTTTAAGCGCTGTATACTTTTGTGGAATGGGCGTCCCCACTTTTATTTAGGATATTTTTCACACTGTGGGCTGTACTAAAGCCACGGGTTGCAACAAGGCGGCACTTGCGCGCTCCCCTAGCCGCACCAGCACCTGCCCATCAAGACCCTCCTTACTGCAATACAACACGGGCTTGCACCCTCGGTTAAAAACCCTGCCGAGGTCTTTGACATGATTATCTCTAATTTCGTAATTTCATCAACTTTGAATTTATAGTAGATGCTACGAACTGTCGATTGACTGCTGAAGCAGCAATTTAAAGGTTGCTCAACAGTAATTCTCATGTGTTGTTTGCGAATGCGAGAGTGGCAGAAGTAATCAACAATTCTCACACATTGCTTCATGTTCACTGACACTAGCGTTTCACTGTAATATATATATATATATATATATATATATATATATATATATATATATATATATATATATATATATAATGAGATATAACAGACAGTAATGCCAAGGAATGTACAGGGGAAGTTATTAACATTAATGGAATGTAAATAAGAAGAAAGAAAAGTGGATGAAAAAATTACCAACTGTAAGCAGGAATCGAACCTACGACCTTCGAATTACGCGTTCGATGCTCTAACCACTGAGCTATTACAGCGGCACTCCCTCCATCCACTTTTTTGGGTTTATCTGTGAATTTAGAAGTAGGAGCGACAGTCAGCGCCATCTATAAGCCAAACGAGTGTGAAAACACTCTTATGCGCATGTTTGGCGTCACGTAGCACGTGAACTTATTATGAGCGGGCAGCTGATTAATTGTCCCTCTTATACAACCTAAACACACCAAGTCTGCCAGTACGAGACCCTCGTTCTTTCCCTTATATATATATATATATATATATATATATATCCGGAGCTGTAAAGCTGGTTGTGAGCTGCGCAGAGCAGCCTCCCATCGCTCCTGGTGT